TTGTTGCACAAAGAATAATTTATCTAAAGGCGTAATTAACTTTCTGCCTAAAAATAATTCTGCTGGAGTTTTTCCCGTAGTATCATGATGTGCCGTTCTTAAAGCATAAGCTAATTCATTTATGTAGCCATCCCAGCGCTTGTGATGTGTGCTCACGTAACTGCGAATTATTTTTACTATGTTTTTATTAACTCTTTCTGCCTGTGGTCTATACGGAACCATTTTGATATGGCGTATGCCAAGTCCATTGCATATGTTTTCAAATACTTGACTAATGAATTGTTTTCCGTTATCGCTAATGACTTTTATCGGTGCACCGTATTTTAAAATGTATCTGTGTAAGAATGCATCTGCGACTGTTTTGGCTGACGCGCGTTTAAGAGGAACAATTTCTATCCATTTTGAAAAATGATCTACTATTACGAAAAGAAAACGATTTTTATTTAACTCGCTCTGGGGGAAGGGACCAAGGAGATCTATTCCTAAAATTTCATTCGGAAATGTAGCGCGAATGCTATTTAAGTACCCGGCCGGGCTGTAATTAATATCATTTATTAACTAACATTGATTGCAGGACCTGACATACGCAGTTACTATTTTGTATAATTGCGGGAAATATACCGCCTCGCGTACCCTTTTTATAGTCTTTCTGACCCCGAGGTGGCCCGCTGTTTTTTTTTCGTGCAACTTTCCTCAAAATGCTTAATCGAAGCGAGGCTGGGATGACTGGCTTATACTCAAGATTTTCGTTTGTTGTTTTCGTATAGAATAATAAATTATCTATTATTTCATAGTTTTTTGCTCTATTTCTTATCGCATCGATATCTGTGTGCTCAAAGCTTACGGGGTCTTTCAAATAAGCATAGATATTTCCAAATTCAGGATCAGCTTTCAGTTCAGTAATAACCGTATCTCTAGAATCTAAAACTTTTGAAGTCAACACAGCGCATTTAAGTTCATTTCCTTCGTCGTCCAGTTTTATACGAGAAAGTGCGTCAGCTACATTGTTTTCCTTACCCGGTTTATATTTTATTGTGATATTATATTCTTGGAGTTTTAAAGCCCATCTTATTAACCTGGGCGTTAGGTTTTTTCCCGAGTAAAGTCTACCAACAGCCGCATGATCCGAAAAGACTGTTACTGGCGATTTGCCGAAATAAACTCGAAATTTGTGTACAGCCATTAATACGGCTAATGTTTCTCTTTCTGTAGCTGTATAATTCCTTTGTGTCTGATTCAATGTTTTACTAAAAAATGCCAGCGGATGGTTATTTTGCATAAGAACCGCTCCCACCGCATAGTCTGACGCATCTGCCGCAATTTCCAGGTTTTCGTCCCCCTCAGGGAATTTTAAAACAGGGGCATTAATAAGCGCTTCTTTTAATCTTTCAAAAGCTGTGTTAGCTTCTGCTGTCCACGTAAATTTACTCTTTTTTCTTTTGATTACTAAGAGTGGTTCAATAATATTAGCGAAATCTTTTATGAAAGATCGATAGTAAGAACATAATCCAAGGAAAGACGAAAGTTTCTTGGCGGTGGGAAATTCTTAATAGCTTTTATTTTTGAATCTTGCGTTTCTATACCCTTTTGCGAAATTTTATAACCGAGATATTTAAGTTCTTTAGTTGCGAACTTGCATTTTGAGGCGTTAATTGTAAGACCGGCCTCTTTTAATAATTTAAAAACTTGTTCGAGGTCATTAATGTGTTGTTCCAACGTACTACTCGTTATAATTATATCATCTAGATAAATTAAAGTTGATTTTCCTAGGACAGGCTTTAGAACAATGTCCATAGCTCTCTGGAATGTTGATGGGGCCCCACACAACCCAAAGGGCATGCGTAAAAATGCATAAGTGCCCGATTTTGTTATAAACGCGGTTTTGTGTATATCTTCGGGTCTCATAGCTATTTGATAGTAGCCAGACGTTAAGTCCAAAGTAGACATATATCTTGTCGATTTGATCTGTCTAATGATCTCGTCTACAACCGGCAAAGAGTAAACTGGAAATTTAGTAATGCTATTTAGTTTTCTATAATCGATAGCAAACCTCCAAGCCCTTTTATCTGAAGGAGGAAACTCGTTCTTTTTCCTACATAGTACGACTGGATTCGCGTACTCACTATTTATGGCGTTATTATTTTATTCTTTAACATCTCCTGAATATGTTCTTCGATGATTAAGTCTTTTTGTTTATCCTACAAGTTTGGTTTAGTCCTACAAGGTTTTTCGGCATTTAATTGAATCTTGTGAGTCACGATTTGACAGTTTCCTGGTTTTTCTGAAAACAAATGAGAAAAATTACTCACCACTTGCTGTATTGCTTTACTTTCCTGGTCATTCAAATGGCTAAGGTCCAATTCAGGTGTCTCCACAGGTTCCACCACCCTCTGATCCATCTCCAAAACCACGGAACTATCTTGAAAATTTAATTTGGCCCTCGCGGCCCTTAAAAAGTCCATACCTAAAATAAGAGAGTGTTGCAGGTGTTTCACCACAAAAATTAATACTTTGAGATTTTCCTCTTTTACCTGTACGTTTAATGATACTTTCCCGATGCAGTGACATGTTTTTCCTTGCGCCGCTATAATTTCTGTATTTCTGGTTTTAAATAGTCGTATCCTATAAAAATTCTTTTTGAAGAACTTTTCACTCATGAAATTTCCTTCTGCTCCTGTATCGATGAGGGCTTCTACTGGTACATCGCCAACCAGGACTTGTATAATTGGTAGCTGTGAGTTTTTTACGATGACTGTATTTAGATGTCTATTTGAGGGTTTTTCTAAAACTTCCGGGGTCTGGACCCTCCCTTTCACAGGCCCCTCTAGTCGTTTAAAGCTTTCCTTTCAATCTGTGTCTTCTGGGTACGCGGATGCTTATTTTCAAATTTTCTTTTTGGGCCTTGACCTTCGAGTTTCGATGCGTTAGCTTGATAGTTCTTTCCCCCATATGAGCGATTTCCATTTAAGGTCTGGTTTTTGAGAACAGACTCACAAATTCCTTCGGGTATGTTGAGAATATGTTTCCCCCTCTCGCTTTTTTCCGCTATTCTGCGATTTTGAAACTTCACCGCCAATTCGAAAAGTTCCTGCAATGTGCTTGGGTTTCTAATTTCAAAGTAGTCTTGAACAGCGGGTAACAATCTTGGTAATATTATTTCAATAATCTCCGCATCGGGTTTTTTCCCATACAGCATATCCGTTAGCTTGATTTTTCGTAAAATAAAGTCCGTCAATTGTGCTGTATCCCGTTGATAGAAACTATATAGCTCGGCTTCCAGCCGTGCGCGATCTTTCACTATGGGGAAGGCCTTTACTAACGATTTTTTGAAATTTTCAAATGTATACGTCGGGCTTCCAAATTCACCTAGAAGAAATTTTCCTATGTTTTTCCACCATAGCGCGGCCTGTCCTGTTAGTGCTGATGTGGCGATGGCAACTTTTTGTCTTTCAGGCACAGGGTAGAGCTGAAAGTGGTTTCTATACCTTCGAGAAATACCGCCACCGAATTTTTTCCATCGAAATAGACGTTTGGCTTGATTGATGCTCTCAAAGTGTGGACCAGGTATCCAAATCCTTCTAACTGAGTTGTCATTTCTTGGTGTTGTCCAGCGGCTTCCATCCAATTTTCGGCCATTTCAGTTCGATAAGTGTTCGGGCGCCAATATAACGTTGCGCGTTCTACTCAAATTTACATATTCTGGCATTGGCAGTTCCAGGGGAAAGTAAGGCTTGACAGGAAAGATAGTTTAAACTTAAGATAAATGTTAGTTAAAATAAATATAAACCCTACAAGTTATCAAATATTTATATTTTCCTCAAAACAATGAAATATACAGTGACATTTCTTACAACAGTATCATTCTTCTATTCTTATTCTTCGGGCGACATGTTTTCAAATGTTCTGAGCAAAGCTGCTTTAGTTGCATTCGTTGCTCTCTATTGTAGATTAGCAAATTTTGGAATCACAGGACCATATCTTCCAAGGCAACGGAAAATAGTCATAGTTCATTTCCACAAAATAAAGTGCCTTGCTTCAGAACTGCTTCGTCATGAAAATAATGACGAGATGTTATGGCTCCAGCAAAATAGGGCAACATCTAATGTTAACAGAGAATCAAACTTCAGCAAATGTTTTCCGGTTGCATGATTTTCTAAAGGAGGAAAATGTTTTTGGCGGAACCATTGCATCTTGCCTTTATTTCCATGACGAAACAATTCTGAAATAAGTCACTTTATTTTGAAGAAATATAACCATGACTAATTCCCTTTGCTTTGGAAGATACGGTCCTGTGATACTAAAATTTGTGGCTTGCACTTAGTTTAAGTTTGTCAATATTCTTCTTCTATCTCAGGGATTTTCTAGGTCTGAAGTGTATCTTAATAACTCAGCATTCAAGAATTTGCATGAAATATTAAAAAATAAGTTATTCGAATAATAAAAGACTGTGGACAATGGAAATGTTATAATAAAATAGCATGATAAAAGCTATCGTTCTGTAAAATAAACAAATAATGGAATTACATCTCATGGCTTTGATTTCAATCTCATGAGCAATTCGTAGCCTAATTTAATTACATGGAAATCATATCCTGAACATTGTTCATTATTTTTGCATGTGCACATTGAAATCACTTTTATATGTTATAAAATATACATTTACTTTAAAGAATGAAACTGAGGTTGAAAAACAGAAGTGGGAAATGAGCGTAAAGGGTAAACAAGAAGATGCAAGAGGCACTGCATCGAAATAACAGTGTGTGTGTCCAGTGCATAATGTGTTAAAAATTGCACTCGTTTAAAACGCATTTTCAACGCCGACGTTTGCTAACGAAGATTTTCCACTATCTTTAATTAAATTATTTTACATGAATCTAATTACGTCAAACCGATGAAATACAAAGAAACTCGTATATGATGAAAATTTAAGTGTTTTTTTGATTAATTTAGTTTCTTTTTTTTCCTTTTCGTTATTAGTAATTTGCAAATTTTAAACTTACTTGTTAAGAGTTGCTGAAATCTTTCTAACGTCGTTCTGATGCTCTTTTGTGGCAGAGACGTGGAATATATCGTTTTAATTCCAGTGCTGATGCCATGCTGTAAAGGACAAACTTGGAGTCGTCCTTTAAAAATAATAAGAAGAAAAGGCACAAAAACATATAATAATTAAATTACTACACGTTTATTATACTAAAATAATAGAAAACAGAAGCTTTCTGAAGTTTTACTTTTCAGTAATGAGTAACAAAGTGAGCTAATAAATTTCTTAAAATAAATTTTAATTCCAATGTTTTACGAGAAAAATATTACGAGATAATATGAAGTTTATTTTTTCCTTCTTATAAGCAAACATTTCTTTTCATTTACTAGAAGCAATATTTGAAAGATAAATATAAATATCAAGATCTTGTGTTTAGAACTGTTCGGTTGTGTATTTTGTTTTTATTGTATCTTTCCGTGCAAAGAAATACATTACATTCACTAACCTTTTTTTACGTAAAAAAAAAATTAGTGAATAGCTCGACGGATGGCTCTCGAAATCTCCAGTCTGACCATCATCATGACTCTCAGATTCTTTTTATCCGTTGCTAAATAAGGAAATAGCAAGGAAAAGTTGCTGAAAGATTAATCCGTTGTTATTAAGGTTTCCGGATTAAAGTCCGGTCTTGGGATTAAAATATAAAATATAGTTCTTGCATTTATGTTGCTACATATTATGTAACTCACGTACGAGGAAATTACGACGTAAATTTCTTACCATTATTTGAAAGAAAATGTGTTGCGCCAGCACGTTTAAATATTTAGATAAGTAGCTGAGATTTCATTCAAGGATTTGCATAGTCAGAGCTTCTGAGTAATGTTTAATTATATTGTGTGACGTAAGTCACTAAATAAGGAATTCTTAACCTAAAAAAAATCAGAAAAAGACCTATAAAGAGACTGATCCTCTAAAAGGAGGCTTTCATCAGAGTTGATCAATTAAGCAACAACTAGGGTTACCATATTTTAAGAACGAGAATCTCGAACCATGCATATTATTTTATTGATGTTATACTGTGTTCTATAATCTATTTCTGAATCTACAATTAAAAAATTAAATAATGTTTATTGATATAATTATTTGTCTCCTGCTCTTTCCCCAAAACTTTCTGCGGCTGTTCATGTCCAGGAAGTTTTATGGAAAATTAATTTCAGCGATAAAAAAGCGTACATAATGCACGTTAAGAAATTTAGTAGAAAGAAATAAAAGAAAAATTGGCATTGACAATAAGATGTTTTCAAGACATTTATTTTGCATCATTTATACTCTGAATATGATGGGAAAGGCTGAAATTCTTGTTGTTCTGCTTTGTATGTTTTTCATTAGTTAGAAATTTTGTTAGAAGCCTGTAGCTGGATTTTATATGGTTATATTAAATCATTGTGGGAATATTTGTAATTCACTTTCAACACTAACCATTCTTTCAGTGTTGAGCTTGTAATCGACTTCTTTCTGAAGATCAATCTTCCCAATAAAAAAAAAATAATAAAAAAAAAATTAAAAAAAAATCTGATGTGGGCACCACATGACTTCTTTGTACGTAATATTAAATTATACACATTTTTCTTGCATTTCATTTAAACTTATTTGATTGCATTAAATTAATTCGTCTATAGCGCATAAACCACAATAGAATAAATGCACTATTTGAAATTCACTATATTTGTTTACTATAGCAACGCTCTGGCGCTAGGTTCACTTAACAATATTAAATTTCGTTCATATTATAACTCAGAATGCACAAAATTTATATCGCTTGAAGAATTATCTCATCGTTGCCACATGCTCTATTCAAATACTATAATAAATCTAGAACGATGTATAAAAGAAATTAAGCAAACAAAGCAAAAAAGAAACAGTTTTTTACAGGCGATTCAGTATTTCTCATTCAATTAATTCAGTTCTCACTCCGCGACAAGGCACAAATACATAAAAACTCAAAATATCTGTATTAAAATTACTAATTATTAAAAATTAAATTTCTGATTATTAAAAATTAAATTATTAAAAATGAAGTAAATCTTAAACACTTATTTCTTCGAAAAAATTCCAAAAAGAATTAAGCATGATTTAAATCGCAATAATATATAAAGGCGTTATTTTTGTTGTTGCGCAACTACGTTTCTCTAGATTGGCAACAAGTTCACTACTCTGCTGTTTAAAATGTAAACAAGCAATGGCCGCCATCAAAAAAATTATTAGGCTTAGCGGCACTTAAACAACTTTTAAATTGTTGATAATTCTAAAAATATTGCATTCAGATTTTACTAAAGGCATAAAAACCTTAACCGGAAGATAAGAACAACATAATACAATCATTTTTAAAGGAAAAAATGTACAATTTACAAACATATAAGAGTAAAGAAACTGAGATCACTGAGCCGGGTAACAGAGTGGATATATTTATAAATATATTTATATACGTTTGGCGCGGCCGATTGCAACCAAAATACGAGGTGCACATCTACATGTTATAGTAGTCCTATATACAAAATTTAAACGTTCTGATGCTACTCGTTTTTGAGTTATGCGAGATACGTACATACGTTCGTACAGACGCCACGAAAAATTCTCTTCAGAATTCATTTTAAAGCAGTTTTATAATTTTTTTGAAGGAAAAGAGTCTTTTATTCTGTCCTTAAGTACAGATGTCAAGCAAAAAATCGTTCAAGTGCATTCGATAGCGGTCAAAATGAATATTTTCGTTGAAATATGATGCCTGAAACTTTTCGCGATTACAATACTTCCTTTTTACTTCGTAGAAGGAAGTAAAAAGTATTAGGGATGATGCATTTAGTACCACAAATGATTAACTAGATGAAAAATGTTTCATTTAAAATTGCCAGCCATTTTTCAATTTTCTGGAGACAATCCCAGAAGCAATTATAGTACGTCCCTTATGTCTGGGCTAATCTCGAACGTCTAGTAATCCTAGTAATGAAGCAATGTCGAGTTCCACCGTCGTTATGAAATACAGTAAGACCCCGCTTAACGCGGGGGATACGTTCCATCAAAGTAGAGCGTAATGCGAAACAGCGCTAAACGAGGCTATCTTTACATGTAAATATTGGGGTTAGGGGAAGATGGCTAGGAAATTGGTTAGGTATTAAATTTAAAAAGTATGTTTTTTTAATAAAAATAAAACCAAACATTTATTTCTTAAATCCCAAATTAATACCACATTATTATTTCTTGCAAAAATAAAAAACAAAATATAAATAACAAAACGAATATTCTTAAAAAAAAAATAAATAAAATTCTCAGTCAGTCATATTTAGTTAGCCTTCCGCGTTTTCAGTGTTCTGCCTTTTTTGTGACAAAAGCATCTAATGTTGTTTGCCTTTTTCTTTTGCGTTGTTCTCTTAAAAGTTCTTCACAAACGGATAGAGCATCTCTAACACCACGCCTTACTTTTGAGCTCCTGTCAAAATTCGGATCATTTTCAATGAATTGATCCATTATTTCAGTTATGGTAGACAAACTCCTTTTTACAAACGCCGTCGAAAGTTCTTTTTGCTCTTCTTCTGAATCACTGCTGTCAACATTTTTGTTTTCTTCTTGTTCAGTTAATTCCTTGAGCTCATCATTAGAAAGACTAGCCGCTGCTTCTTGAATTATTTCTTCGACACTTCCACATTTACCCCTTCAAAATATGTCTGTACAATACCACACCAAACAAGAAATACAAGTACACTCTTTCGGATATGTATTTGAAACCTATCGCTGCATAATATTTCGGGGAATCCCCGTATGCTGCGAGCGATTTCGTGGAATCCCCGGGTTGAAATAAAAGAGCGCTAAACCGAAACAGCGCTAAACGAAACAGCGTTAAGCGGGGTCTTACTGTATGTCTGATTTACACACAGTTACGAAATCGGAAAGTTTCTTTATAAAATCTTTGACTTAATTCATTATTTTGATGCCGTCGCGGACACGTAGCCGATAACCTCTTAGCTGAGACACTTAGCCAAGAGCAGTTACCCAACAGAACACTTAATTGACATTGCTTAATTGACTCTGATGTTGAGGTCCTTTGATAGAAGGGAATGTGCTACTGTTCCATCTCCGAATGCAATAAGCTTGAGTGTGCATGTTAGCTTAGAGAGAGACAGCGCGAGATTGGAAGCATGGGCCTAAGGCCTAAGGCATGGGCCTGGTTTCATGGCAGGGTGATCTGAGTCTGAATTTCATCAAAAAGACTTTTTGGGACACACTTTTGTTGTTCCTCATATTCATTAGAAGTTCAATGCATTGCTCATAGATGGCACTAACGAAAGTAAAATTTTTATTTAATCTGATTCGGCAGTTATCTGAGAAATATCCTCGTAGGTACATAATCTCAAGAGGGAAGAATGAAGAATTCAGCGAGGAAAACATCTGCAAATTGATTGGCGATTCACTTAGGAATCTTTATTTTGTGGAACTCATTATGTTGTAAATGTTCAAGGTGAAATAGAAACAAAAACAAGTTCAACTAGCTCATGAGGGTCAAGCACCAAGGATGAAGTAGTTAGAATGCAATTAGAATTGAGTTACACATTAGAATTATACTCAACAGTGATTAATGTTGCTACAATAAGCTTAATTAATTAATATACGCACGAATTAGTTACCAATTATGTTCCAAAATTACTTCTTTAATGAATGCTAATAACTTGGAATGCTAAAAATCTTATTGTTGAACCTACTCTTTTGTTTATTACTACTAAATTAACTACAAACCATAGCAGGTTGTATTTCCTGTTGAGAGGCTAGCGCTGCTGGGTAATAGTTATACGGGTTAAAAAGTTGGAAAATGTGAGGGGGTGCCACGTGCTTATTAAGTAAGAATTTTCTTATATTTGGAGAAATAAGTTCTGGTTTAATTAGGATAGATGTTCAGCTGTTAGAAATGTGAGCTAATAAAGAAGGAAGACAAAAAGTGAATAGAATTTACTGTAATTAATGAGGAAAGAAATTAGATGTTCGGTTACATAAAAAGATTTTCCAAGTCCGAATAACGAGTTTTCTGAGGATAATACTTTCTGTGAAAATTTATATACAGTGCGACTATTAGAAAAACGGAGTAATTTAGTAGGAAGTATTAATAACTCATGGGATCTGATACTCTATCCGATTTAAGGAAGATTGAAATCACAAAGAATTTTATAAATGTCTCACGAATGAAGAATAGGTATTTGAAAGAGAACTTGATTTTATTGATAGGTTTAAAGGGCATTAAATCCATACTATTTGAAGCATTTAGGAAGAAAAGGGCTAAGTTTAGGGGTGAATGGCGAACATACGGCATTTATAAAAATCTTTGTGAGAGCGGTCTTGCGTATATTGAACCTTTAAAATTCAACGTGAAGCAACGTATTACATAAGGAGGTAAGAGGTTCGTCAACTGTTTCTCCTTCTTGGAATGAAAGCCACAGTTTTAGATTTTCGGAGGCCAAAATCTTTGCTCGAGCTAACTGATTTTTATCTGTTTGACACAGAAGCTGTTGAAAACTTTCTGTCTATTGACGTAGTTTCCTCTCTGTAATATTTTTCTTATTGAAATTTGTAAAAATGCTGAAAACATTTCAGTATCATATACGTACAAAGCAAAAAACTTGTTAAGACATACAATTATTTTTTACTTAAATACTAAAACGAATGTTAGTTCAAACATCAGAAAATGAAAGAGTAAAAAATGCTATTCTTACCTTGCTTCACTATAGGCTCCAATCCAGCGTATGGATCGAAAGGTATTAGAAAAATTTTACTACCACCTAGATAATTAAGTGCAAGGATGATGAAGATAGCCACAATACCCGATAAAACAGATGCCGTCCCTTCAAAGAAAAAAAATACAGGAATTTCCGTCAATTCTTGAACTCATATTTTTAAATCTTCTGAATTAAACTTAATTTCAAAAATAAATTATACAATGAAAGTAAAGTTCATTTAATTTTTCTCATTCAAATTAATTAATTTAAGGAAAAATTAATTGTGCTTCACATTCAAATGTAACTGAAAAGCAATGAATGTGATGGGCAGACTTTTTCTACTAATTATATATGTAGAAGCTTTCATAACAGTATAAAACCTATAAGGTATTTACCCCGCCTTCTTAGCATGCTTTCGTGGTGTAGTGGTGTAGTGGTGAGCACACGTATTCGAGAGGACCGTGGTTCGAGTCCAGGTGAGGGCATTGCGAATTTTTCCATCTCTCCACTACCAGAATTTGGCGATTGGGTCCCCTTATCCCCAGTCGCCCTTTAAAAGGGGGAGTATATTTCTTCCGCCTTCTTAGCATGGCTTCGTGGTGTAGTGGCCAGCACGCTCGGCGCGAATTCGAGAGGTCCGTAGTTCGAGTCCCGGACATTGCTCATTTTTCATATCACCTGCTTCGAAATAACCTAACAGCTCTACAACGGCGCGAAGTGGTGAATGATGATCCTTCACCACCAGGATTTGGCGATTGGGTCACATCTCCTGTTCCAAAAATACCTAATAGCTCTACAAACCTTTTAAGCCAAAACTGAGTGGAAGGTATGCTTATGATTATCATGTAATGTTTAGTCATGAAGGATTGAGTAAGTGTATATAAATGAGAATGCAGGCCATTGTGCTGTAAAAAAGCATAAAAAGTATTAATTATCCGATATATCTAAAATTTCCACGAAATTTTATACAATCGTTCCTGTCGCGCGTCTCGACAGGAAATTCGATGGTAAATAAAACTTGGCTTTTATTATTCCTACAAAATGAAGAATACATTTGAGAAAAAAAACAGTGAAATGTAATTTCATCAGACTGAAAATTCCACCATAAGCCTCCTAAAACGGAAAACTATCGCAAAATAAATTCCAGAATTACAAGACAGACAAAACCGAGTTTTTCTTCACAACAGGCATCGTATTTTACGAATTATGATTTTTTTCTTCTATACAGCAGATTCTAGTTCAACCTCCAACGTCATCAACTTTTAAGACACTATCAGTATCAATTATCAGTATATTTATCAGTATCAATATAAATTTTCTTAATTGTATTTGTGATATAGCTGAAATGTAATGATTCCTGATGAAGAAGAACGGGATAAATTCTCAAAATTTATAGCTATTTCTAATGAAGAAATTTTGACTTTCTTATATAATGCAGAAAAACTGATTTGTTAGAAATGACGGAATAAGAAGACTCCGTATAATTAGTCAGCGAAGCACTAGTTATACGGATTATAGTCAACGCATAATTAATTACATCCAGTATAAAACTAGTCAGTGAGTGTTCATATGTTCCTATACAACATACGAGACTCTGTAAACAATACATTTGAAAATTATTTCAATAAAAATCTCAGATTAAAATAAACATACAAATAACAGGGTAGCAAGCCAGGAAAAGACATCAAACTTTGTTAATGTACTAGTTTGCAAAAATTAGAGATTTTAAGAAAATTTATTGATACATATAGATTTTGCTGTAGCTACAATAATGAAGTGTAACTTCAATGAGCAGTATAGACAAAAGCGTTTTTTCTCTCCATCTTCCAAAATATAGACTCCAAGGGGAATAGAAGTTATATGAATAAAACAAAAAGCAGTTATACGAATAAAATGAAATTCGGTTAATATACGTATAGATACAGAAAAAGAAACAATTAAAATTTTAAAGGAATGAATGTTTTAGTCACGCGACATATATAGCGAATAAACTAATATGGCGTTAGCCCTCCTCTTGTCCTCATGCAAACTGCTACCCGTCTTAACAATGGCTCTTAGAGTTAGCGGATAAGCTTCTGCGGAATTTCTAGCGTTTACGCCCTCTAACTGATCAGTCAAATTGGAGATATTCTGGAATGGTCGAAGCGGCTGCTCATCAGACCTCAAACTGACTCTTTTGGAAAGAGGTGCGGTAATCTAGTTAGCCAAGAAAGGGCTTGACAAGCATGAAAACTGTTAGTAGAAATTATTACTGTATAAGTACGTACTATATTATTTTAACGAAACGTAAGTCCGAAGTGGCTTGAAAATAAGAGCATATCGTAATGTCGTCGAGATACCGCTGAACTGCAATGGTGTCACGGATGGCAACAAAAAGGATTATCAGATGAAATGGCAGCCTAGATCAAATCTCAACATTATCGGGCTGTGTAACGAGCTGCAGTATCAAACTGTTGTCTTGGACGTCTGCTGACATTTTTCACTTTTCATCGTGGCTCCTTTCTAAATGGGACTCATTGCTGAAGATACATTTAATTTAATCAGTGCGATTCCATATAGAAAGAACTAGACAGCACTGCAGACGCCATTGTCGGTGTGCACAGGTAATATTTTTTCTGGGCACTGCACAGTCCACTTGGTAGAAATTACTCCGATGGCTCACGGTTGGCGTTGTGGGCGTCACGAAAGGAGGTCCTGTTCTTTGAGTTGCTTTTCAACTGCCATAAAAGTCAGCAGTGTACTGGTTACATGCCAGATCTCTGATAATGATGGATTAGATATTTCGACAGACACACTGATGATCGCTTTGTCTTCAAGTCCCTACAGTAACCACTGCCTTTTCATACTGTACTCTGCCGTGATTCAAATATTCCTGTTAGCATCGTCGATGGCGGCATCACTCCGACCCAAGTGTCTATTTGACTTCGATTTTACTTATGCTTTACTTCAGACTGCTTCCAGGTCTTCTCTGGGTACGTGATATATGCTTATATTGTGATAAGATGAAAACAAATTCTAAAGGATGTTATGCTGTAGAATGAAATTTCTCTTCATTTATACAATAATTGGATGCTTTGAGAAATTGATTGTATAGAGTTTATGGGTATTCTTCGGTAACATTCAACTTTGACCCTACGTCGAAGACAAAATAGCGAATTCTCGCTATGTCTTTAAGAATAAATACTGCAGAAGAAAGGTTTAAATAACCTTTTTATTTAAACTAAATTTAAAAAAAAAATGCAGGCACTTCGTGCTCACAAATCACCCCCACTTGTGGCTACGTAACATAAAATAAAAATGCAACAAATCACTAGTAAATTCAGATATCTACTGATTAGCTCCTTAGCTTAACTTAACGCTACATCGACCGCAAACAGCAAAGCCGAGCCGAGAAATATCAGTATAAATTGAAAGGTGTCGAACACCGAACTAGAGAGCTAATTTTAAAGTCGCAGCATAAACATCGGAATTAAGTCCGCTACTACCGTTTTTGAACTCTTGACACGCAGTTTAAATACTGCTTGTGAAACGCGTTTAAATTCAACTACTACGTCATATCAAATTTACATTCCTGCAGGAAACTGAAATTAGGAGGAACAGGAAACTCAAACTTCTTTTTAATGCATCTTTTCTTTTTTTTTTTCTTTCTTTGCTTTCCCGCCTTCTATAGAGCATATATTGAAAAACATACTGTTTCTTCAATCTTCAATCTTAATCTTAAATCTTTTAAATCAGCTTAGTTAAAAAGGTAAGGTGAAAACCAAAATTCAAATGCGTATTCTCTCTCCAACTAAGCTATATAAGAAGCCAAATTTCTGGCACATGGACTAAATTAAATCTATTCTAAAGTCCCTTTTTGATACATCACAAAATGGATAAGAGTGTCATACATTTGGCATGATGGTAACAAGAGCCGGTTGCCACAACCTAGAATTTGATCTTGAATCCCGAAGATGGCATGGATGTTAAATAAGTGTACAGTGTCTTTACGGTAGGTAAGTACTTGAAATACTGTCAAACCGCAAGTCTTCTCGAGAACTAGGTGGAAAGGAAATAGGGACTGAAGACACTCGGATCCGTTCGCCGGATGATTGTGCTTGAAGAAAGTTCATAATTATGTGAGGAGATGTAGAACAGATTCTCATTTTAAATTCAAACTCCATTCTTAAATTCAGTATTAAAAAATATTCTGAACAACCTATAAGATATTTCTCGCGCCTTCTTAGCATGCTTTCGTGGTGTAATTGTCAGCACACTCGGCGCGTATTCGAGAGGTCCGTGGTTTGAATCCCGTCCAGAGCATTGTTCATTTTTCTTGTCTCCTGCTTCGAAATAACCTAATGTCTCTACAACTTTATGCTCCGATAAATTAGTTCTGAATCTGAGTATGTAATTCATAAGTATTGCATTCAACTTCAGTCGATTACGAAAATAATATTCAGTTCCAAAATTAAGATAGTAATTTCTAAAATTAAGAGTTTAATTATTAACACATCATATCATTATTTTTCCGGACATTGCTACTTAACTATGCACGGTAATTTAAATATTAGCATAATACTTTGTTATTCATTTTGTTGGCCTTCTATACTTGAACTGAATTTATTAAAATTTGCAAAATATAATACTTTGTTATCAAATTGAGCTAGTTCAATTTGTTTCACTTAAGCTGAGCATGCCATGCTAGTTATGAGTTCAATAGAGTATGCCAGGGCAAATGTGCCTCAAAAAGATAGTCTTCATGGTAGAAGTCTGAAGAAAAACTGGATCGTACTCACATTATAAATCTGAAGAGGGAATAAAAACTCTATTCAGCTAGGGACTGGATTCTAGGAAATGAAGTTGAGGCGAATTTTTGGTTACAGCCGAAAACATCGCGGAAAAAAAGTCACGGAGAAAACAACGCAAGGCGAATATGACGTGGTACAAAACATCATAGGAGAAAAGAAAGCAACGAGAAAACATCGCAGTTCTAAAATATCGTGTTGCAAAATATCGTGGTCGAAAATAAAGCGGTTCAGAAACTTCGCAATTTAAAAACATCGTCGTCGAAAATATCGTGGACAAAAATAAAGTACCTACAAATCATCGCATGACATAACATCACCGAATTTTTAGTATCGATCATCTTTTACCTTTAGTCATTGGCAGGACATAACTGATTAAGAAAATCTGAATAACGCAGTTTAAAAATTTAACCAAGGGATTCAAATACAGATATGATTTATAAATTCAGTAAAATTTGTAAAAAAATTACAGATCAACCAGGGAACTTTAAAAATTTTATTTACAGCTATGGAAAAAACAACGATCAGCAATATTTACCATTATTTTGTTCTACGGCACCGTGTATGAAATGACATTAAGTACATATTTTGGATTCTTACTACAACTTAAAAAATTGTATTATACAAATTTCACGACCTGCGATAATATGAAATAATTTTAGCCCAGATACATATAACGAGTAAAAATGTGCGAAAATCTTTTAAATTAGAATTTAAATAATCTTGAAACTCGAGTTCCGTTTCAAATATTTTTTACTTTTAAATAAATTTCTTATAAAAATGGAGGTATTCCCTTATTATAACTAATATATACTATTAAGATTTCAATTTAATTAGTTCTTCAGCTAAGTGTCTCACGAATGGCAGAGCAAGACTGTTAATCGCTGGGAGTTCAACTCCTGGAAAAGGACAGGATGAGAGAGATTTTCGTTATCCCTTCCCATTGGAATGAATTCCCTTGAATACATGCCAGTTTCTCTGGAAATAAATTTAAGAATGAGAATGACCAGAAAATGGAAGCATTAAAAATCATAAGTTAACAGACAATTTAATTTTAGCAACCATCAATTTGAATATTTGGAGTTCCAAATATTTGGATTGGAGTTATGTTATACTAAGCTAAATCAGAATCATTTTATCAAACTGAATTCACTATATTTAATAACAATCAAAAGATTATTCTATGAATTTCACAACACTGTTCGATATTCTTATCCATGAAAAAATATAAAAAATTGTTCGACATACTCACAACCCGAGCAGCACGCGGTGTGCCTTCCTTTCTCAGGGATAACAGTCACGTATGGCTGTGGGCATCCTGGCCCTGTTGAGACAGTGTAACTTTTATTATGAGCCATATTATAAGACCTGAAGCAAAAAGGAAACGATATTTATGACATGCTAAAATAATTCTTACATTACATATGTACAATAATTAATTCCTTTCGTGCAAGGTAATGATAAAGAGTAATTCAGTGGTTCCTCATTGGAAATCAAAGCTCTGAATGTATTTCGGGTTTAGGACGTAATGATTAAGGTTTACCTTATAACTAAACTTTTTCTGTAATTTTTAAACTTTCACAATAATCAAATTTACAGTATTATCTATCAAAAATGTGCGTTTTGCTATATAATGATCTAGGTTTATCTTTACACCGTTCTTGCCACAAACAGCAAAATTTATCCACCAAAAATAATATTATCAATGTCATAATCATATATTTAACATGTGTAAAAGATCGTTGGCTTTTTTTAAATACCCTTATTCATTTATATTACTTTTCCACTTATGTCTGGTCTTTATGAAGATATTCCTGAAATTCGCCACTTTGGAATTCTTTTAGTCATCCTGAATACAGACTGCCATTAGCATTCAATTCGTAATTTCTTAACCTTTTAAACCTCTTTTTGCACACATCGGCGAATACAGTGGTCTTTTTATACATTGCTGGCCATTAAAATTGCAACACCATGATGGAATGCGAATACAAAAAAGATATTTATTGTAAGAAAACAGTATGGCATGAAAACAAAATGATTAAATTTGTAAACAGTTTGGGGATATACAGGGATGCGAAATTAGTAGAAACAGCTCTTATCTGGTTAGGCATGGAGTTTAACGGAGCTTGCATGACAGAAACTGTCAACTCATTCCATGCTGCTTCAAGTATATGTCCCATTTCATCAACCGCATTAGCTGGAGAGGGGTGGCGAGTCAGTCTCTCAGCAACCTATGACCAGATCTTTTCAATAGGTGACAGATCTGGACACCATGCGGGTCAGGGCAATAACTGAATACCCTGTGTATTCAGTTGTTGCCCTGTGTATTGAAGAAGGACAGAGCACGACGTATATATTATTTTGCATTATCATGTTGGAAGAGGGCATTCGGCAAGCCTCGAATATAGGGTACAACCGCTGGACGTAAGATGCCAGAAATGTACCGATATGCGTTCAAATTACGGTCAATCCGAACTAGAGATGTGCGTGTTGTGTACCCAATGGCTACCCAAACCATCACACCAGGTGCAAAGTCCCTATGCCCAGACTGAATACAAGGAGGCGACGTGCGGACTCCTCGGAGCCTCCAGACGGCCATCAGAATACTGCACGCAGAATCGGGACTCGTCTGAAAAGACGACATTATGCCTCTCTTGTATCCAACTTTATCGTTCGGTGCACCAAAGTCGCCGTCTCACTCTATGCTGCATTGTCAAGGGAAACCGAATTGTCAAGTGTCGCCGTGCTGATAGTCCATGCTGCTACAAACGTCGACGCACCGTACGAGCTGATACTGGGCGTACTGCAAACATGCCCATTTCCTGACTAATGGTCCATGATATGGTTGTACGGTTTTGCAGGACTGACGTCACAATATGTCTGTCCTCTCGGGCGTTAGTCATGGGAAGGTGTTGAAACCATTCATGCCGTTCAGTATAATTCTCAGCAATCCATTGATTCCATATTCGCATGACAGTAATTGGATGTCGACCAGCGTGACGGGCGATATCACAGAATGATAATCCACACTCTCGATAGGCAACGAACCTGCCTCTATCGAATTTCGACACTTGCTGGTAAGCATCTCTTCTTATTATTCGAGGCATAACACGATATTCGGAGAAAACTTCGACCTCACAAAGCGCTTTCCGAATGAGAAATCCACTACACAACTTTCCTTTTATGCAGCAGTGCTTCAGATGCCATTTCTCCCTCCTGCTTCGTCTGAATGCGCTGAAATTATAATCATTTGCATATTCCAACCTCTTCTTCCTTTCACGTGATTTTGACGTTCGTCAGATCATTCCTTACTGGTGTCGCTATTTTAATGACCATCAGTGTAGTTTTTCAGAGATGATCCACTTTAATGGTCAATAATCTTTTTTGAATTAAAACGAAATTTATAGGGTACCGTATACGCCTTTTATAGAGTACCATTCACATCTGCTATAAAAATGATGCTAGTTTGTTACGGAACCGCGAACTTGCAATCGCTTTCACTAACCTGCAATTCATTGAAATTTTATCAGTATTTAGGTAGAAGGTACAAAATGAAGAATAACGTATAAGAATATAATATACATTTTAGGTTCACTTCTGTTTTCTTTTTGTATTTTTATTCAGTACGTTTCCATACTTCCGTCTCCTTTTCACTTGTTCAGTGTCCATTTGAAAGTGAAGTTTATAAACAGTTAAAATAGAAGATGAAGAAATCTGCAGTTGAACATAAAATTATTGGATGACTTCAATAATAGATCATATGCTATGATCGGAAGTGGTTATGCATGCTCTAAAGTCATCACTGAATATCGAGACTTGCTTCATTATAATATATCCCTGTTCGACAGTTAATCAGAATGTAGCCTCGATAATTCTGTTATGCTGAAAAGTTAACAAACAGAAACATTTTTTTTCGATAATACAGGAAAAAAACGTAAAATATGAAGGAAAAACATATGCATGCGCGCTAAAGTTTGTTCACATTTCGAAATTTTTATGTTGAAAATAATAAATCTGAAAACTCATTTCTTATTAAAATATAAAATACTCAAAGTTTCGTAAAAATTATACATGCAGAAGCAGTCAGTCAAGTACAATTCTACTGTGACAATGTTATGCGCTACGGTTTTTACTCGTTCCTCGTACACAAAGAAAGCTGCGTACTTTTTTTACCATTTTATTTTAAAGATGAGAAAGGATAAGACTTGAGATAGAAATGGAGCACTTCGTTCCGCATTCTGTTTCTTGGCAAAAACGGGCAGAGTATATGGGGTTTCTATGGTTTCCCCGATGTGTAAGGTAAAAATGAGCAAGATTCTTTTAGAATTTTTTTTCTTTGTCATCCCTTTTAAGTCTGATAGCTTTCGCATGCTTTGCAGTTATAAATTAACAAAAGAACATCTTTTTTCATTCATTGTCACCTTGCGTAAGGTAAAAAAATTAACTTTTCTCGAAAGCAACAGATCTGAATCGTCACTTTTACAGCTGACTGAATTCGAATGAATATCATCCAACATTTCGTCTTCAGTTACATCACTTCCATTGTAAAGTAAGCAATCGGAAGTAAAATGAAATCGTTTCATTGTCTAAATCTCATCTAGAAGTTCCTACACACAAAGTACATCTACCGAGTTTTAATACTAATTTTTTCCAAGCAATTCCAAAAAAACTTTGTGACAATTTTGTTTCAGTTTAATTAAAAAATTATTTAAATTTGTATCTTTAAATCCTTTCTTGCATAACTCGTTCTTTCCAGAAAGTTATGCAGATTTTAAATGGCAAGCGTTGGTGTATAAAAAGCATCTTACTCGAAACCGTAGAAATGTGAGCGAAGAGGAAAGGAAGTAAGCTTGGAATCAGTAGAGCTGGCGAAGGACTAAAGGTCAACCGTGCCTGCGTGAGAGAATCCAGGGAAATCTCTTCCAAATGATAAACTGTGCTTGAAATTTAAATGCGCTATTATTCGCTAGGAAACTGTGGTTCCTGTTAGATTAATCTGAATTGTCACAAAGTTGAATTCAGTTGAGTTTAAATTTTTATTCTACATTTAGTGACCAGTCAAGTAGACTGTTACCTTGTAGTATCTTTTAAGTTTAAACCTCAAAAGCTAATTTCATTTTATTCTGTGTTTCTGTTTGAACTTTGAAATTCACTCCATTCACGAAAACTCCCGCTAAGGGATTTTTTTATGCTTGTTAGAACTTACATATAGCTGGAAGATGATTGAGTTATACACAAGCACTTCAAGTTTAATACAGATGTTACAACCTACCAAACAATATCTAAAACTATGATACTTTAATTTGCTTTTCCTAAAATATTGTTTGCTTAGAGATGGAGTTTTCAGTTAATCGTTTGCTTTGATCTAATACTTTGATGCTAAACACTGTACCATGACAGCATGAGTTTTTAATGAGAGGATTTCTTTTCTCAGGAAAAACTTTCAAATGACAAGGAAGAGGCATCCGTCAAAACTGCCCCCCATGATATCCGAACAGTTTTTTTTTTTTTCGTAAATCAACATACATACGTGAGGACTGTTCTAACCATGTCTAGTGGAAAAATATATCGTACAGACATTAGGTTATTTCGAAGCAGGAGATGTGAAAAATGGGCAGTGCCCTCACCGGGACTCGAACCCAAGACCTCTCGCATACTCATCGAGTATGCTGACCATTACATCACTAAGGCAAGCTAGTGAGACGGAAGAAATACCTTATGATATAAAAATAGCACTTTGTTTGTCTTCCCAGCATCTGGATGCTGTTTCGGTAAAGATATCACGTCTGTTACTATTGTGGATGCGTTATTAAATATATTTACTAGAATGGGATTTGATAAAGAAGTTCTGTGCTATCAAAGGAATTATTTACGAGCATTTTGATAACCGAATTCTTGGAGCACTTTGGTATTAAAATTAACTATAGTTCAGTGTATCATGCATAGTCCAATCTGATGGAGAAATCCCCCCCTACCATGAAAAGAATACGAGTTTTATGTTTGGAAGCGATATTTGATAAGAAGCGATCTTCGGCTCTTTAAGCCGTAAGGAACGTGATGCACGAAAAAGCGGGTTCATTCGTAAGTCGTCCTTATTGTATTAATATTTTTATCCCCTTCTTCCTTGTACGAAGTAAAAAGGAAGTATTGTAATCGCGAAAAGTTTCAGGCAGCATATTTCAACGAAAATATCCATTTTGACCGCTATCGAATGCAATTTAATGATGTTTTTGCGTGATATCTGTACGTAAGGACAGAATAAAAGAGTCGTTCCCTCCAAAAAAATTATAAAACTGCTTTAAATTAAATCTGAAGAGAATTTTTCGTGGCGTCTGTACATACGTTCGTACGAGCGTACGTTCGTACGT